TAGTGATCGCGATAAGGAGCGTGCCTTGCACCCTCCGATAAGTTTGGCAACCCTAGAGGAGAAATTTCTTATGAGTAGCGAGCAGAGCGAAACAGGCAGGCTGTCGGGCAGTGTGCGCGAAGTTCCGAAATAAAGCATAATTTTTATTGTGCACTATGTCTTGTTAATATTTATATTAATGCAGTAAGAACATAATCTGTGATATGGAATTCGAGGATTGGTGGTAAAAATACATAACAGGAAGGAATCACCATAATGGTAACCCGGAACTGTGTTAAATCGGCCGTATGAACAGTTCTCAAGCACTTTCGGTTTTGACTACAAGCCATCACTCAAGATCTCCAAACCAGAAGTAATGGATTACATCGGTTTTTCATCCTCCAGATCACAGATGAGTAGTAATTATAGATCATTTTATAATTCTGTTTCTACTTATCATTTAATTTCATTTTCTTTAGTTAAATTTTTGCTTTTATTTTGGCTTAAAAACCTTGCACAATGTCTGATGTTCATGCCGTCCAAATTCCGGTTTATAACCGATCAGACCCATCTTTATGGTTTATTATGTGTGAAAGTACCTTTGCTCTTGCCACCCCCAAACCTATCACAGAATCCATTACTAAATATAATTATGTAGTTGCTCATCTTCCTCCAGATATTGCATCGATAGTGCGGGATTTACTTATGAAACCAGACCCTATTGATCCATATGCAAAGCTTAAAACTGAGTTAATAAATTGTTCGGGAGAATCTTCTCAGCAAGAAATTCGCCAATTATTATCTGGAGAGGAATTAGGTTCTCGAAAACCTTCCGATTTGCTTAGAAATATGAAACGTCGAGCAGAATCTTTAAATGTTCCTGATAACTTAATGTTAGAATTAATCCTTCAATGTTTGCCTTCGACTGTTCAGTCTATTTTGGCAGCGGTTTCCAATTTAACTGTAGATAAAGCTGCAGAAATTGCCGACAGAATTTTAGAAGTAAATCCAACCCCAGGGACTGGTGCCGTTTCTCGCACAGTCGATCAGTCTCTTGAGGATAAATTATTTAAACAAATAGAAAAATTAAACAAATGTATTGATCGCATTTCTCTTTCTCGTGGTCGCTCGCCAAATCGCGGAGATCGCAATAAGGAAAGAAGCAATTCCAAAAGGAGAGATTATTCTGTTTGCTGGTATCATAGACGTTTTGGGAAAAAGTGTAGAGATGACAAATGTACAAAACCTTGTTCATGGCAGGGAAACGAAACCAGCAAAGAATAGAAGCAACTTATTCTTTGCCTCAAGTTTCACGTCGCCTGTTCGTTCGTGACCGTAGAACAAACCTTTCATTCTTGATCGATACCGGCTCTGACGTGTCCTTACTTCCAGCAAATAATTCTCAAAAACGGAATTCGTCCCAACAAACACTTTTCGCTGCTAATTCTTCTACTATTCATGTTTATGGTCAAAAAACACTTTCTTTGGATTTCAAATTAAGACGACAGTTTACATGGACTTTTCTTATAGCAAATGTTAGTACACCCATTCTTGGAGCAGATTTTCTCCATTTCTATGAATTGGTGCCTGATCTCAGAAACAAATGTCTCAAAGATTTAAAAACGCATTTTAAAACCATCGGTTGCATGAAAAATGTTATTTATTTATTCAGTAAAAACTGTATTTAGTGATACACCATATCACAAAATTTTAAAAGAATTTCCTTCAGTTACTAGATTACCAGATCCTAACCAACCTGTTAAACATAACACCGTTCATTATATCATAACTAAAGGTCCACCTGTGGTTGCAAAACCTCGTCGGTTAGCTCCAGATCGCTTAAAAATAGCAAAACAAGAATTTCAAACTATGATGCAGTTGGGGCATTTGAGACCTTCGAGCAGCAATTATGCATCCCCGCTTCACATGGTTCCAAAAAAGGGAAGTATGGAATGGAGACTTGAGGAGATTATCGAGCATTGAACGTTCAAACAATAAAAGACAAATACCCTATTCCATGCTTAGCCGATTTTACTGCTGCCTTGCACGGCACTAAAATTTTTTAGTCATGTGGACCTGATTAAGGCATACCATCAAATACCAATTAACCCAGCCGACATCCACAAAACCACCATATGCACACCATTCGGTTTATTCGAAAGTACCCGTATGCAATTCGGCTTATGCAATGCATCCGCGACTTTTCAACGTTTTATAGATGAAGTCACGCGGGATTTAGAAGGTGTTTACGCTTTCGTCGATGACTTGCTCATAGCCTCTAAAGATTCTGAGGAACATGCAGGCATTTGAAAGCTTATTTTCCAAACTTCAGGAATATGGACTTTGCATAAATGTTTCAAAATGCACCTTTGGTCAAACGTCTATTGATTTCTTAGGTTTTCACCTTAGTGAAAACGGAATTGAACCCCTTCCTGACAAAGTCAAATGTATTTTAGATTTTCCTCAACCTACCACTCTCACTCAGCTTCGCCGATTTTTAGGCATGTTTAACTTTTATAGATGTTTCATACCTAAAGCAGCATATATTCTTTCTCCTTTAATAAAATTGTTAGAAGGCTATATTAATAAAAAGAAATCTCATTCTCGTGTTCAGGATTCATCCCCACAATTAAATTGGAACAAGAATGCTGAACAAGCCTTTATTGCTGCCAAAAATGCCATTGCTCAGGCTACCCTTTTGAGACACCCTATTCCCGGAGCCCAGCTAAGCATCTGGGTAGATGCCTCAGACGTCGAAATAGGCGGCAAACTTATGCAGTTGTCTCAACAAACATGGGAACCTATAGCATTTTTCTCTATGAAACTCAATAAAAGTCAACAGAAATGGTAATCGCGTACGAATAGGGAATTATTTTCAATTTATTCTGCAATTAAGAAATTCCGACACATGTTAGAGGGCAGAAATTTTAAATTTATACGGATCAAAAACCGTTAATATACGCTTTTAAACAGAACCCTCATAAATGTTCACCTCGACAATTGCGCCATTTAGATTTTATTTCTCAGTACTCTACTGATATTAGGCATGTGCAAGGTTAAAAAAAAAACGTCGTTGCTGATGCTCTTTCAAGAATCGAAATTGATTCCATAACAAAATCTCCATTTTTGGATTTAAATAAAAAATTTTCGGAAAGCTCAACGGCATGATCCAGAGGTACAAGACCTTCTCAAAAACAACACATCATCTTTGAAACTGGAATTTAAACCGTGCCAATATTCTGATGGTAATATTCTTTGTGACATATCAATGGACATTCCTCGTCCATTTGTTCCGAATTCCTTTCGCAGACTTATCTTTAATCATCTGCATAATCTGTCACATCCAGGAATTGCAGCTACTACGAAGCTTATTTGTTCTCGTTATGTATGGCCCGATATGAAACGTCATATCAAAAATTGGGTGAAATCCTGTGAATCTTGCCAAAAATCGAAAATTGCTAGGCATACTAAAGCACCACTGGGCACATTCTCTCTTCCTGATGCACGTTTTTCAGAAATCCATATGGATATCGTCGGACCGTTACCTCCATCAGAAGGCAATGTGTACCTTTTAACTCTCTAGATAGATTCTCCAGATGGCCTGAAGCCATTCCTATCCCGGATATGAAAACGGAAACCATTTGCAGAGCCATCTTCAACTGTTGGATATCTCGTTTTGGCTACCCATCGATCATAACAACAGACCAAGGTTCTCAAATGAGATCCGCACTTTTTGCAGAATTTACGTGCATTTTGGGTACGAACAGAATCACAACAGCAGCCTATCATCCAATTTCCAACGACATTGTTGAACGATTTCATCGACATTTAAAATCTTCTCTCAAGGCTCACGAGACCAATAACTGGATTGAAACACTACCAGTTGTTATGCTTGGTATTCGGACAGCCGTAAAGAAAGATCTACAGTCATCTTGTGCTGAACTGGTGTACGGCACAACTCTCAAGCTGCCTAGTGATATGGTAACGTCATCTAAGATATCTCTGTATGACACACAATTTATCACGAATCTTCGGCATAGAATGCAACAATTGAATCCAATAGCAACATCTGCACATTGCCAAGAAAAATGTTACGTAAGTGCTTCCTTAAAGTCGTGTACGCATGTATTCTTACGTGTCGATCGAGTAAAGCCACCTCTGTGCCAACCATATACAGGTCCGCATACAGTCCTTTCTAGAACGAACAAAACTTTCACAATTGATTTTAACGGTCTGAAATCTACTGTGTCTATAGACCGTGTGAAACCAGCCTATTTGCTTTCGGACTCTAAATTGCCTGAACTGAAAACAAATAAAGATTTAAAGACAGTTCAGCAGAATAAATCTGCAAACGAACTCTCTAAGACACAAACTGTCACCAGATCAGGAAGACATGTTCACTTCCCTAAGAAACTTGCTTCTTACATAACAATTTTAAACATTTTTTTAAAATTCATATCTTAACATATTTCTTGTTATTTCATGTTTATTATATGTGTCAATACCTTGTAATATATTGAATTGCATTTTGATCTTTTCTAATTTTATATTCTAATTTTGTAATCATGTAAAAAATACCCGACAGTACGGATCCTCTGAGATAATTTCATAACCTATGTCATTCCTTTGAATAGCCATTAAAGGAACTTGGGGGAAACTCTGTGGTGATGGCGATAAGGAGCGCGCCTTGCACCCTCCAATAAGTGTGGCAACCCTAGAGGAGAAATTTCTTACGAGTAGCGAGCAGAGCGAAACAGGCAGGCTGTCGGGCAGTGTGCGCGAATTTCCGAAATAAAGCATAATTTTTATTGTGCACTATGTCTTGTTAATATTTATATTAATGCAGTAAGAACATAATATGTGATATGGAATTCGAGGATTGGTGGTAAAAACATAACAGGAAATCACCATATATGTATTTAATTAGAACTATAAGATTTCCAAGTAAATGATACTTTCCAATTTTTCTTTCTTCTATTTTTTAATCTTTACACATTTTTGAAAAGAATTTCTTAATTTAGGCCCTATCCCCCTGACTTCTATGAACAAGGAACCAATTTTGACTTTTTCAACTATGCTGGTATTCATCGATCAGTTGTGTTGTATGCTGTGCCTCAAGTGTTCATAAATGACATAGCTGTTGTTACAGATATTGATAATACAACAGGTATTTTTTTTTTTTTTTTAATCAGGATCGTATTGTACTTTCATGTATTTCAGAGGTTTAGCAGTCTCTGAGAACGCTTGTCAAACTTAATTTTTTCTTTTATTATTTATGAAAAATATTCAGAAATTTATGTTTTTGTCCACTTACATAATACTGAAAGCAAAGCTTGAAATCTTCATTTAATGAAGGGAAAAAAATTAAGAATACAGTTTTTTAAAATACATCTATATTAATCAGGTAGATGCAAAATGAATTTTAATGGATGATGAACATAATTAAAACTTTTGAATTTATTTTCTCAACGTAGTTTGAGAAAAATATAGAAAGTGTTTACATTTTTAGAAAGATTTTAGGGCTGTTTTATTAATGTTTAGTTTAGAAAGAGTATTTTTTAAAATGATCGATATGAAACCGTTTTTCTGGACTAAAAGTCTACATCATAATTTCCATAATAGAAGAGCATTTTGTAAATTTTCTGAGGATTATTGATTTCCATTCTTGCTCCATTACTTTTCAGCAGTTGTTCAATCAGAGTCCTTCAATCATGATGCATTTGCACTTAGAAGCTCTTTTCTAGAGACCAAAGGCACAATACTCGTAGGTGAAACATTAGGGAACTTCACAGGAATATGCTGAAAAGATATACGTATATGCAATGCTTGCATCAGTTTTCTTTTCTCTAATGGAATGCTGTTGTACTTTTTGAAGTATTGCTTGTTGTTTTGTCTTGATGAAGTTTCACTTTTTGAAGGTTATTGGGATAAATAGAACTTCTTTTGTTGGTATCAGCGATAAAACTTCCTTTTGATATTATGTAGAGTTGATTTTAACATTTTTTCCGTCTCTTTTTATTTTAATTTTCCATTGTAAAACAATCCTGTGATAGTTATAAATCTCTTACTGAAACTTTCTTCGTTTTGACGAATTTATACATTTTTTTCTCTTTGTTTTCGATAATTAAGAGATCATTTTTATTGCAGTCATTTAGATCAATTATCAAGTTTCATGATGTGTATTGCTATTTATTTCCTGCTAAATAGTTTTCATATAGGGTTCTACAAATTATTGTGCATTAAGCCACATGCCTTGGGAAAAGTTACGTATGGTGAAAGTTACTTATTTTAGCTTTTTTAATCACAAATCTCGCTTTATTATTTTATTGATTGTTGTTCCAGATGTATTTAAACACTTTGCAATTAATTTCTTAGTTTGCGGATTTTCTGTTTGTACTATGCATTGGTACTTCCATATTATTGCAACCACCTTACCAGAAATCACCAAAGCTTCAGAATGCATCAAACTCTGGTAGTCACATGCATAACGATTATTCGAGCAACCATGCGCATGACAAATATTCAGTTTTCAACTTCGCCATTTTCGTATGTGTTCTTTTTGTTGTATTCCAACACCCAGTGATTTTTATAAAAACGTGATTTTAAAACTTTTTCTTATAATAGAAGAAAGACAGGTAAAATTTCTGCTATTTTTCAAAATTAATTTTGCAAATTCCTTACTTACTTGTATGCATGGTACATTGCATTTACATTACAAATGTTGCCATACTTCCATAATCAGTTTCTAGTTATATATACTATGCCTTTTCATGAAGTTTTGTGATCATGATAATTTTATGAATTGCGTACAACTTTCCTTGCTGATTTTTTTTGCACAAGAAGTTTGTTGACTGTCAAAAGTATTTGTCTGAATCATTTCTTCAGTCTGTTTGACACAGTACTGAACTTCCTTGGAAACAGAGACAATAACAACAAAACAAACAAAAATAAAAAAAATCCTAAGAAAACCTGATTACATCCAAAAATGACATCTCTGATTTAACACACCTATTCAAAATATTTAATGAAGTCAATTTACAGTTGCAAGGTAATGAGTTGAGTTTAATTAAAACAAAAAACATCCATAGCTGCTTTTGCAAGAATTTCTTCTGTTCAAATGAAATCTAAGTACAGGTAAATAGCCTCTCCACATATTAGTAGTGTCTGCAAAACAGGAAAATTTACGTACTTACTGCCAACACTTGGGTGTTTTTCATGCTGATTTTATGGTGTATTTTCAGGATATTTTAAACATCAATATATCAAGCTGGATTTTAGGTCCTTTTGCAGGTACAGCAGAATCATCAAATTTAAAGGAGTAAGTCATAGAACTCACAATTAACGAAGAACTAAAAATAATTCAGAAATAGATAATAAGAGTTCTTGCTTCAAAAATAATTACAAGCTCTCTGCCTGGTGGACATGAGTACAGAAATTTTAATTGCTTGTTAATGAAACAAATTGTTAAAGTTTCATCAACCTCAATCATCTCAATATTTTTTAAATTTCTTATTGATTTTCTGTTAAATTTTAATAAACAATTTTTTTACAACATTTAATGGTTATTTTAATTCACTTCTTCTTTCCAATTCTTAATAGATGGATAAACAGATAAAATAGGTGTAGATTATATGCAACAGTCTTTTAATATTTGATAAAATTCACTATTATGGAAGAGGAGGTACTGGAACTTTTTTCTTGTAAAGAGGTGGTGGTCCAGAAAAGGCTGGAAACCTTTGTTCTAGAATATCTTCAAAGAAGAGGGACTTGATTACCACCCTGAAGCATAGGGGATTTTTCTTTGAGAGAAAACAGAAAGAGACTGTGAAGTGGATGGACACAAAACTTGTGATCCTGTTCAACACCAGCCAGATTGTCCTTTCTAAAATATTGCCTAAAATTATGCAACTGAAATAGATGGGAACTATAAAATGTCACTACCATAAAATGAGCCTTTGTATCAGATAATTTTAATTCTGTTACTGTAACTGCAAAGATTCAGATTTTTTTCAAATCTTAAATCTTCTCAAGATTTATCCGCTTTAAGGACATGAACATCCCATCTCTAATTTTATGTAATAAAAAATTTTATCATTGAAATTTATTTCTGTAATATTTTTACGTCTAAAGATATAAATATTTACTTCTGAATAAAAGTAGTAATTATTTACAGCTTATTGTCAAATGCAAATTAAATTTAAGAATAGTTTAATCTTTTGCATATGCTATTTTTATGTTCAACTGCAGTAACAGTTTATGCATTTTTAGGTTACATTCATTATGATGTTTCAATCTCCAATTCCTTAAAGCCAAATTATACAAAAGCAGTATGCTTTATCAGCATCTTAGATAAATCTAAAAAACTAGTAGCAACACAAACAGGCTGCTCTAACACAACTGCTATAAAAAATGCTGCCCTTTGGTGGCCTAGTACTATGCACAGTGATCCTGGATATATGTACACATTACATGTAAGTATATTTAATATCATAAATTCTTTATCTGTATTTATATTGTTACTTATTTTCAAATTAAAATGTTTATCCTTTCAGACACCATTCTTTTTTTAGCCTGAAAGTGTAAAATATCTGATATGACATTATCAAGATTTGAACCATGGATCTTTCATTTGTAGCTGAATGTGCTAATCATTCATGCCATGAGAACATGCAAGAAGGAGTGTAATAATTTATTGCATTCTATCCTATTTACAAGGTGACTGAAAAAAGAAGCATGAAACCTAATCTGCCAAATCTAGGATGTGACCAGTGTCTACCACATTTTTATTTTGAATACCACTTCAGAAATAATTAGGTTTTTGGAACCAAGAACCATAAAAAATAAATTGTGTCCTTGCCAGATTTTGAACCATGAATCTTCTGGTACTAAGTGGAGCTCTAAGCCCGTACATTACGAGAACATGCATAAGGGAATGCAATGATATCTTACATTTTTCCTTATTTAAATGGTAACGTGAAGAGTCACAAAACTCATTCTACCTTACCGAAGATCATTTAAGCAAACGTATCATGGGCATGAGCATAGGGAAATTTCCATCCTTATAATTGGTCATGACACAGATCAAGTTTGGGCACTAAGTAGCACATGTAACATTAGCATGCAGCAGTTTTGCAATTTGTTTTCATTGAATAATAATGTCAGATAAATAAAAAATACATGCATATTTTGCAGACAAAATTAATAGTTTATGGAATAATAAAATTATACAGAATGCTGTGAATTCAGCTGTGATGAACGCTGATTGTTTCCTGCTTATCCTCAAATTTAATTTTCACACCCTGATCATCAAACAGTAGTATGATTAGCGAATTGCTATTAAAAGTCATCAGTAACCAGTCATAAAATATATAAAGCAGTGATAAAATAAAATAAAATTAGAGCTTTTATCTTTTTTAAATATAAATGTTTTGTAACTTACAACCAAGAATGAAATTTCTTGGTTGTAAATTACAGATTAGGTGACAAATAAGTCACAGCTGCAAAAATTACATTTTTACTGCTTAATGCATTTTATAATAATCATGGAACTTAATTTTTTTTACATATTTTATTTTAAATTTTTAGTCTATAGAATACAGAAAAAATAATAAAGAAAATCATTGCCTTTTGAATGCAGGAAGACTATTCCTTTCAGTCAGCATAGTAGATGTCATCTTTCTTCCCCTCCCTTCAGTTTCTTCTAGGCTATTCAGTTTCTTCTAGCATGTAGTTACATTCAGCTTTTAAATTTCCATTTGATTCAAAAATGTCATCTCATTATCATTTAAAATAATGAGGCTACTAATAATAAAGGACTAGTTCTTTTGATTTAAAATTACATTATTGTTAGCAGCTGTGCTATATATATATTTAAAAGCTTCCAAAATTCAATAAATAATTTCAGGAATTCCAAAAAATTTTTTATTTGGAATACATAAGAAGAAACATAATAATAGGCTAAAAATTAAAAACAAAATTTTCAAACTTGTCCTGCACTATAGCTGCAGGATTGAAGTAAAATAAATTTAAAATTAAATTAGTATCAAAGCAAGGCAATTCTTCAACAATATTAATTTTTTGAATGGTCAATTTGCATAATGTGAAGTATTATGGTTTTTTTTTAATAGTCAATATGGCACAATGTAATATTTTATTCTTTTTTCTGAGTGTTTCAAAAGCATGTAGGGAAAATTCTGGATACATTTGAGATTCGATTTTTCGGGTTCATATGAATTTTAATGTCTTGACTGAAAATTTAATTGTATCTTTTTTTGGTTTTTGATCTCAAATGAACCAGGAGAATGAAACATGTTTTTGAAATATACTTGTATTAATTGACTTTTATGAAACTTTAATTCATTTTCCCCTGATGAGTTCTGAATTGGAGTTTCTGTAAAAGGGACATTAATTTTTATATTTTTTAATTATATATTTTTCTTTTTGCATTTTTATTCTTTGAGTTTATTCTACTAATGAATTCTTATTTTAATTTTGAATGTTTAGCTACTGTGTTAAACATCTTATATGTGGTTGCAATTATTAATATTTTTGAGGAATTGTCTTGCTTTGATTCCAGTTTAATTTTAACTATTTCCAGTTTAATTTGTTTTTATATATATGTATGTGATCTCTCTCTCTCTATATATATTTATATATGTATAAATCTACCAGTATAGTAAAGACTGACAATCTGTACTGATTTATTTGACTATTAAACAATAATATGAGAGAATAAGTCAAGTCTAAATAAAGAAAGCAATAATGTTTCTAATTTTATAATATTTCCTATTAAGTATTGTATTGCCATCATAAATATGTACAAGATTAAAAAAGTCTCGGGAAAATCCTGTTGGTGGGAGGGGATTAAAAATTAATTTTAAGTTTTATCCAAGCACACAAACAGGAAAGCTAAGCTTTATCTTTAAGTACACATTTTATCAGGTTAGATAAAGCAAAAAATAGGTTGTATTATAAAAAAGAAATTACACACGGCTTTCTTGGCTAGGATTATTGAAAGTTCTGTAAAGAATCACAGTCCAAAACTTATGAATTCCTAATTTAAATTAAACAACATTAGCACTTGAAACAGTTACTACATGCATCTTCTGAAACAGATGGCTCCTAAATCTCATAAGATAAGAATAATTTATTATTAAGTATATTATTCTTTAATACAACAATCGCAAATAAAAAATAGTGTAAGTTAATAGAGTAATGTTGAAAAATGCTATGTTTTTCCGGAAAGATGGCTTTTGCTATGCATTGACTCATTAAAAATTAGAAAGTGAAAGACAAACATTTAAAATTTTTAACATACACTTGTTAGTTAACTGGTTGAATTGAGTTAAAGTGGGTAATAAATATTTTTTTATTACTTTCCCAATCCTTATTTATGCAGTATTTGCAGCCCATTACTGAGAAGTGCCTGACTTGTTCAGAAATGGTATGGCTGTGTGTTTTACAGATTCATCTGGATCTAACAAACAACATTTTTTACAAGTATACATTGTAAAATATCATATTTTCATATTATTTAAATCAAAACAGAAAATGAAATCACATAAAAACAAGATTAACTTCAGATTAACATAGAAATAATAAATAATCCAACCTAGAATTAAGCCTGAAGGATCCTGAGCTAAAGGAAAATGGTTAGATGACTTTGAAAAAGATTTAAAAACTTTGAAAATTAAAAACTGGAGAAGACTCGCAGATAGAAATGAAAAATGATTAGCCAGTAGAATGCTGAAATTTTGTATATGGGATTGCTATCTCTAGTATTTGTGCATATATCTTTTTTATTGCAATCAGCAGTACCAAATGTACAGTACCAATACATATATATACACATCCAACTCCTTGCCTAACTTTTATTTTCTCAATCATTGATCACATTCATATACTGCCAATTACTGAAGTGTTTTAAATGATAAAAATATTTATATTTTGGCAATGTCAAATTAAAAAAAAAATTAATATTCTACAAATAACAAAATTTAACTTTTAATGCAATCTCTCAGTTCCTATACTCATATTTAGGAAAGTTTTATGCTTGTTATGAAAAAAAATAAAATTATAAGAAGTTTGACAAAACTGACATGTATATTTAATTTTAAAATTTGCTGTTTTTGATGTTATTGTCAACTTTCCTTGAGGGATCAGTTAATTAAGTAAAGGAGTCAAGGAAGTAAGTTTAAATGAAGTGCAGCAAAAAATGTGCTTAATTTAAGGGGCCATACGAGGGAGTCATGTAGTATTCACATCAGGTTTTTTTCTTTGAGATTACTGAAACAAGAAATCAACTGAACTGAAACAAGTTCTAGCAAACAAGCTGTTGAAAGTAACAAACGCTTGTTTTCTAGAACCGCACTAAATTTGATACTATGCTAATTGCAGAAGATATTCTTCAACAATGTAAAATTTTGCAGAAGGCTGGCACTAGGCATTTTGCCACCCAATGCAATTGCTTGAAGATCACAAATTCTTACATCTTGCTAAATTCTAAAAATTTTGCCACCCCTTAACTTTCATTGCCCGCTGCCTCTCCTAAAAAAAAAAAAAAAAAAGAAAAAAAGAAAAAAAAGAAAAATGCTGTTGCTAATATCTTGCATCTTATGCAGCTGCACCTATTGTACTGGCTCTGAGATGCTTCTGTGTGAGTAGGATTTCATCAGCTGTATTAAATCTGCTTTTAAAGTTTCCAGAATTTTAAATCACCATGTATGTCATCTAATGTATTAGACATATAGACTTTACTAATTCAGAAGTCAAACAACAAAAATCAGCGTTATACCTACAAAATTTTCACAGGACTAGTTTCGATGGTTTTACCGAACCATCATCTTCAGCTGCAAAACCGCAAATGAACAAGATAGGAAATAATGATTAGATCAAGAAAGAAAGCCTGGACAAGAATAAGCAAGTGGCGCCATCTGTTGGCGAAACCAGAACTAAAACATAATTTCTCTAAAAGCCGAAGGCAAATTTGGATTGGAATTAGGATCGTTAACTAGAACAGAAAGATTTTTATGAATGTGAAATGCCTCTAGAAAAATCCAGTTCTCCAATGGAAGATGTTTTTTGAATAATTTTGGCAGCAGAAAAATTGAAAGTGTGATTTTTCGGACCAACAATGTTGAGCAACAGAAGACTTCTGTGTTTCCTTTTTTCTAACATATGCCTCATGTTCTTTGACGCGAAATTTTAAGGCTCTCTTAGTTTGGCCAATGTAAATTAAACCACACTGGCAAGGAATCCTATAAATACCCCAGGAATTCATATCCGGAATGGGGTCCTTGAGTATAGAAGTTGGAATTTTATTGATGGGAGAATAAACAACCCGAAAGTTAAATTTCTGCAAAATATGTGCAACTTTATAGCTAATTGATGGAAAGAAGGGAATGACAACAGAATTTTTATAATCTCCTAAAATAAGAGTGTGGCTTTTAGTGTGTTGAGATGAGAATTTTTT